CATCTTTGCCACCTAAAACATGATAACATGTCCTGCCTCGCTCGAAAGACATGCGTTTGTGCAGTGGAGAGCGATGATGGTGGGGTGTGGTGAGGGTGCGTTCGGCCAGACGGACTCATCGCGGTGTGGCTGCCGCGTCCAGGAAGGAGTCTGTCCTTTGAATAGCTGGCAGTTTTGAAGGCCTCATTATTGTTTCGTCTCTGTCACATGGGCTTGGCCAAACTCTTTATTGTTGAACCATTCCGGGAGCAAAGAGATAGAGCGATCCGTGCCTCAGGGGAGCGCTTCTCTTACCCTTTCCCTTTCTTGGCTTTACACTTGTCTGCTTAAAGCCTACTATTAAAAAGAATCTATGATTTTCGAATTCTTTATCTTTGGCAGCGTGGTCTTAATGGATGCTGTCACTTAAAAACCATTTATTGAAGGCGGGGGGTGTGTGTGATAATTTAGAGTTCCTTCCTTTGGAAAGCCCAACTTTTCCGTCTTACATTTGAAAGCTTGTGGGCTGCAAGAGACGGAACTGTTTTTTCCCCAAAGGTGGTTATTTTTCTCGGTTCCTGGGAATCCAGTGTGACTTCAGTGAGGTACCTCTGGGTGTGACATTGAGACGGTTTCACGTTTTTTAAATAACCACTTTGTGATATTCCCTCGTAACTAATGACATTGAGCAGTTTTCGTGTGTCCTCATTATTGGCGATTTGTAGAACTTCTTTGGGGAGATGTCTATTTAGATACTTCGCCCCTTGTTAATTAGGTTGACTTTCTATTACTGGGTTGTAAGAGGGCTTGATCTGTTCTGCAGACAAGCCCCTTATTGCATATAGGATTTGCAAATGTGTTCTCCCATTATGCTGCCTGTTCACTTTGATCATGTCCTGTAAAGCACAAAAGGTTTTAGTTGTGATGAAATCTATTTAATCTGGTTTTTTTCTCTTTTTTTGCTTGTGCTTTTCGTGTCCTATCTAAGAATCCATTGCTCAGCCCAGTGTCCCAAAGATTTTACTTGTATGTTTTCTTCAAAGAGTCATATGGTTTCACATCTTACATTTAGGACTCTGGTCCATCCTGACTTTTTGTTTATAACGTGTGGTGTGGAGGGATTTCACTTTTCACTGTTTTCCATATTTGGGGAATTTACCAATTGAAAAAAAAAAGTTTGAAAACCTCACGAGGATCTCTGAATCGTTCAGATAGATTTTACCTTTGACAAGAATCTTTTATATTACAAGCACTTGGTATAAATTTAAAAGCATTTGGCCAGTGTTTACCATCTTCTTAAAGTATAAGGCAGGGACTCCGAAGGGCTGGGTGTTCAGTGTTAGGGATATACACTGTTCATCAGTGGGATGGTGCAACCCTAAAAAAAAGATGTGGTCACCATTTGTTCGCTTGCACTGCACACTGTCATGCAGTCGGGGAACAGGAGACTCTGGTTAATTAAAACTTCTGGCTTGTTACCTTTTCACAGTGCCATTTGTTAGAGCATTTGAATATTTTTGAAATTCTGGGAACCAGAGCTATGCCATCAATTTATGTAAGCCCCTTTTATTTTCTTATTTATTTATGGAGAGACAGAGCAGGGGAGAAGCAGAGAGAGAGAGAGAGAGAGAGAGAGAGAGAGAGAGGAAGAGAGAGAACCCCAAGTGGGCTCAGAGCTGTCAGTGCAGAGCCCCATGCGGGGCTCGATCCCACGAACCGTGAGATCATGACGTGAGTCGAGACCAAGAATCAGACGCTTAACCGATCAACCACCCAAGCTCCCCTGTAAGCCCCTTTCACATACACAGAAGAAGATAGGTCTATCACCTCCAAACATCGGCAGTGTACCCTCTGAAAAGGATCAAGTGCCAGCAGTAAATGCTGTTTCCTCACTGTGCCATTGCAGGTTTATTTGAAATACAACAGTGTCCGAGAGGAAAACACTGCAACTTTCTCCACGTGTTCCGAAATCCCAACAATGAGTTTTGGGAGGCTAACAGAGACATCTACCTGTCTCCAGATCGGACTGGCTCCTCATTTGGCAAGGGCTCAGACAGGAGAGAGAGGATGGGCCACCACGACGACTACTACGGGAGGCCCAGGAGGCGGAGAAGCCCTAGTCCGTCGCATTCCTACAAGAGAAATGGGGAAGCTGACAGGAAAAGGAGAAGCAGCCACCGGGGGAAGAAGTCTCACAAACACCCGTCCAAGAGTCGCGAGAGGCACAGTTCGCGCAGTAGAGGAAGAAAAAGGGATGGCAGCCGCATCCGGGCCAGCCGGAGCCAGAGTTCCTCCAGGTCCAGGAGTCGTGGCAGGAGGAGGTCAGGCAGCAGAGACAGGACAACGCAGAGTCCCAAATCCAAATAAACCGATTTTGTTCCGAAATGATCGTACGTCTTATTTGTGATGGCTGCTTCATACTTGGGTAGTAGAGGGCTCTGAGCTCGATGGATTAGCAAGTCCGGCAGAAAGAACCCTATTTCAAAATACTTTTATTCTCTGAGAATCAGTGTGTTTAGCATAGAAGACACAAAATGTATAGATAATGTGAAGATCACTTGTAATCCTAACCCTTGGTGATAACCAACACTGGAGCATTGCTTAAGTCTTTTTCCTCTTCTTACGGATGTGTACAAATATTTTTTACACAGAGATCATATGTGGCTGCAGTTGAATATGCTTTTCTTCCTATGCAAAACCTCATATTTTCTCAACCCTCTTACTTTTCTCACTGCATGGTGCGGGTCTATCAGTTTTATTCAACCATATCCCTAATTGTCGGATTTTAAAGTTCTCCCTAATTTTGCACGATTAAAAGAATCCAGTGCTATAAACAATCCTGCTGTGGATCTCCTTAAATACTTTCACACGTTTCTGATGGTTTCCGTAGGATAAATTACATTACACCAAGAGATAGGACTACTGAAGCATTTACAAATTGCCCTCTGGAAAGGCTGCAAAAATTTTACTCTTTCAATAATGAATTTTTCTATTCCCACAACACCAAGTTATTTTAATCTTTGCCAATTTGGTAAAATTTTAATCTCTGCCAGTTTGGTAAATTTTATGGTTAACTCTTTGTTTCTCTATGTATTGGTTAAGCCAGACACTTTTTCTGTATTTAATCGCTGTTAAATCTGGTTGTTTGCCCTTTATTAATAATCTATTGGATTTCTCTACATGCAATAGCTGAGCAGCTTTTTGACTTTAAAACTCACTTTGCTTTAAAGTACTTAAAGGGGGGAGGGGCGCCTGGGTGGCTCAGTTGGTTAAGCGTCAACTTCGGCTCAGGTCATGATCCTCGCGGCTTGTGAGTTCGAGCCCTGCGCCGGGCTCTGTGCTGACAGCTCGGAGCCTGGAGCCTGCTTCGGATTCTGTGTCTCCCTCTCCCTCTGCCCCACCCCCGCTTGTACTCTGTCTCTCTCTCTCAAAAATAAACATTAAAGAACTAAATAAAGTACTTGAAAGGTAAAGTCAGTTTTTCCTCTCCATCCTGTCCCTTATTCACAGCGCCTTCTCAGGTGGAGGTTTAACATTGGTGGGGTTCATCTTTTTTATAGTGTGTTGGGGAGCTCTTTATAGAGAGGTAAATCTTATCTTTGTCATTTTCAGGAAAATTAGGATCCTTGCTACTGCCTACTGTTAAAGGAATTCTCATTTAAAAAACAATGGTCAGAGACCTGTTTAAAGAAAAAAAAAAGGCTTAAGGCCAAAAAATACCATTCTTAGATTTCAGATCACAAAGAAAAAAGATGCTCTCATACTTCATATGTTTTTAATTTCCTTAGTAACCTTTCCATTGACATACTGGAGATACTGAATTTCAGAGTATGTGGCATTTGGCAACTTGAGATTTGGAAATAAGGATGCACAAAATAAGCCAACAGAGGAAGAGAAATTTCAAGATTGGGATTTCTGAGTGGTTATCTGTTGAAAATGAGCTTAGAAAAAAAAAAAAGAAAAAATGAGTTCTTCAGTATGTAGTCTATAGAAGTATGGTCCAGGTGTGCCTGGGTGGCTCAGTCAGTTGAGTGTGCGACTTCGGCTCAGGTCATGATGTCACAGTTCGTGGGTTTGAGCCCCGTGTTGGGCTGTGTGCTGATAGCTCGGAGCCTGGAGCCTGCTTTGGATTGTCTCCCTCTTTCTCTGCCCCTCCCCCACTCGTAACTCTGTTTCTCACAAATAAACATTATAAAAATTTTTTTTTAAAGTATGGTCCAGAAATCATTTTACCTTACAAATTGATTTGTTCAACTTTAAATGCTTGCTTTACCCTAAAAACGATTGAAAACTGTCATTATCTACTGGACTCAGTAATGCAGAATAACTATCCCTAAATCCAGTGTTCTTCAGTACTTTCCTAAATATAGTCAAGATATACACAATTAAAGGTGGTATTCCGAGCTGAATGGCCTTCACAGATCATGGAGGACAAAAGGGGATAAACACCAGCTTGTGCTCAAGGTAATTATGAGATGATGGGGTCTTTTCCCTTGGGCATTCATGGGCATTGTGTGGAGGGAAGGAAAGGGCAGTTTTTAAACCACTTGACTGGTTCGTTCGAGTGTGCATCTTGAACTTAAATGTATTACTGTTTTTTTAAATTTATAACGTGATTTCTGTTTATGATTTAAAAATTCCAGCTCTACGTTGCCAGCAGAAGCCCATCAGGCCTGTTTCCAGTGAATAAACCAACTGAGTATTGGAGACTAAGTCTGCAAGTATCTTTTTAGCAGACTAGAAACTTGATGGTAGTTGATCCTTTGTTCTTTACCATCCTTGCTTTAGTATGTAACATTTCCCATCTGCACTTAGAAGGGGGTCCCTTAACTATCATGATAACCAAAGTTTTGAGTTGCTGCTTATATTAGGCAGTAGTTTGCAAACATCAGTTCATTTTGGCAAGTATGCTAGCCTCTCCGGGGCTTGGGGGAATGGGGATCCGGCTGATGTGCAGTACCTTCGCTTACCTGGAGTAATCAAGAGTTGCTCATTCAGAAAGAGTAGAAAAGTCAACTGCATCAAGGTTTTAAAAGCGGCATTTATTGATTGAAAATAAATGTGTGGATAGGCTCTCAGCATGGAATCCACATTATTTTTTAATGAGCTTGAAGTACATCAAGATTCCTTACATCTTCCACCGTTTATCTTGTGTGTGCTTTTAGCAACCACATTGAAACGGAGATGAATTTTTGACATTTGACTGAAAAAATGTAAAATTCTTTAAGCAGCTCCCCATAGTTGATAAACCTTTGCAAAGAGAAAGATAAAAACACACTACAATGGTATATGTTGAACATTTATTACAACCAATTGGTGATGTGATAAGACAGTGCTAACATGGCCCGAATATGTATTGGTCACAATCACAACAAAGCTTAATCCAGCCCAGCAGATACAAATGAAAAGTGTAAACCATGAAGACATGTTTACATACACAGAAGTATGTAGAAAAGTGACATTGAAACAATTGTACAGCTTTAAAAAATATAGGGCCCACTAATGCCATTTTACCTCATTCGACTATCACTTTTATATGAAAGGTGGTGTCTTTTAGAAGATTTCTGATAACTAGGCAGTGCCATGGAAGGGAATGAAGCTGCCCTAACGTTTGCAGCACTTGTAAGTGGAGGGAAGCTAAATAAATTTGGCTCTAACAAGCACCCTGGAAGGAATAGTCGTGCTTCAAACAATGACTTAAGCAACACTCTGTGAAGAGAAGAAACATGTTTTCTGTAAGATGCTGTTATGAAGAATTCCAGGTTACGTCAATGTTTCCTTTTTTATTTGGGGGCATCAAAAACCATCTAAGTCACTACATGGTTATGACCACAAAAAAATCTGTCTCAGGAGTTGAATGTTCCTTGGCCTTAAAAATAACGTGCTCACTATTAGTCGCTCTCTGTTCCTCGTCCCAGGTCTGGAATGCCAGGGAAAGATCTTTTAGTGTAAAACACACCATTTCAATTTAGTCATTTGTGTATTCCCTTTAAGTATGTAGTTTCCATGAGGGTCTTTGGTATAAATTTGGTTCTCTGTTTTAAAGTTTCAACATAAACAGTTAAATTTTAATTCATTTGATATGTATCAATTCCCTTTATCCTCAGATATACTGAAATGTCCCACACTAGTCTTTGGTTTCATATAACCAGGTTTCATATTATAATTTTTAACAGTTTCCTTTGCCAAAGACCGTAATTAATGAATGTAGCTTGCCTAATTGTGTCATTTTCATAGATACATAATCAGATTGAGAGAAACAGATTTAAAAACTAAAATATCCAGAAAAGGTACCTTTCTTTTTCTGCATCATTCTAACTCATGTTTAAGTCCCTTATCACTTGATTAACCAAAGTTCCCTTTAAAAAAATTTTTTTTGTGTGTAGGCCTGAATGAAGCAGCTTAGCAAAACAGTAATACTGACAAGACGTCATCTTATACCATTAGCTAACATGGACATGAAGGCAGTGACCATCTACAGTGTGTGAAATGTCACAAGAAGTCATCAACAAGGGAGGTGAGTTATGTCAGTCCAATTTCTTCAAGAACACTACGTGGGGTTTCAGCTTCCTGTGGAGGGAAAATGTGAGACTCTGGTAAGCAGATCCGGGGAAGCTTGAGAGTGTGAAATTGACACGGAGGGATGTGCAAGTTTCAGAGAACAATGCAAGCAGTTCATTGGTTTGGGCACAGTCTAAAACTGAGAGCAGGCGGTTATTCAGGGTTGTGGACCCCAAAAGACCACAGAAGGGTATTTTCAGCATGCATTAAATACCCACTAATTACCTACCAATGTGCTGGGTACCATCGCTGTAACACAAAAAGCAGTCAAGCCCGCTGGCAATTTAGGAAATCATTGCTACTGAATTAGCTACAGGAAAAGTAAGTTATCTTTGTGTTAAAATTCAAAACCTCCCCTAAATAAAAAGCAGGGAAAACCCCGAGTTCTTCTGAATCTTCACATAATGTTTCCCATGGCCCTTTTTTTTTTTTTTTTTTTTTTGGTCATGTGTATTCATAGAAATGTCTTACTCTGAGTTTTTACTCAGTTTTTAACTTAACTGTCCCCAGCAGCATGGCTTCAGAAACTCACCTTCCCAGACCTCTCCAAGGCAACCAATGGCTTTGGTGAGGCAACACAGAAAGAATACCTGGGGACAAAGGCATTTTTGTCCTATGTAACAATCAATATTCATTTTTAAATGTCAAAGGAAGACAAGACAAAGCAGGCATATCTAGAAAAAAATTACTTAATATTCCAAAGTGGCTGATTTTGCATATCACAAAATAGGACCAGGTCAGATTCAGGGGTTACTTGCAATAATTCTGTAATTAAAAGGCATACTAGAATTTAATGGAGAAAACGTAATTTTTAGTATCCAATAACAAATTAACTTACTTTTGCATCCTAATTATGGTACAGCACAAAACAAGGAAAAGAACAATATTAAACCACAAATCCATACATTAGATTTAATTGCATGTAAAGCAGTACATGGAATAATCTTAAGTAAATTAAACGCTAGTCTGTTTCCGTATTTGGATAGTACTTACCTTCATATAGAGATTTGAGGGAGAGAAGGCTTAGTGCCCAACTTCTAGAAAGTGCTCAAAAAAATGTCAACCGATAACATTACACAACTGAGACCTAACTGAAGGTATTTAGCATTTAGTACTAAATAAAGTACTATAAATCAACTCTGCATATAAAGTTTTTATGGTAACCTTTTAGTAGGTGTGTTTACTAATGAAAAATGGGTAAAACATCAGCTTTGGTTAAAGAAAAAAATTCTGAAGTATTCTTGCCCTCGCCACCCCTCCCCCCAACGAAACCTCAGCTTAACCAGGCTACACATCAAAATATATATGGTGGATAAGCAAACAAGTTAAACAGCGCCACAAGATTACAACCCGCTGGAGGACATTCTACAACATAGGTGACTCGGTTTTAAAAAAATGGCAAGGAAAAAAAGCAGACAAGTTGTTAAAGATGAAAAGACTTAAAAGACATCAACCAGATACAATGTGAGCCTTGTTGGAAATCTGGTTCTAACCAAGTATAGAAATGCATTTTCAACAATTAGGAGAAATTGAACCAGGAACAAGTATTAGGAATTACTGTCAATTTGGGGGGCGAGGGGAGGACTGTGGTACTTCCTTCTCCTGGTGATACATATCGAAGGATTAAAGATGAAATAAGAGGTCTAGGGCTTGCTCTAAAATACTGAGGCAAAAATGGGGGTGGGGGGAAATGGATGACGAAACAAGCATAGTACTAAGAGTACTGAGCTGGTGGTTGCTGAAGCTGAGTGATGTGCACACAAAGGTTCTCTTTTATTTGCAGGTCTCAGAGTTTTCACGATACAGTTTAAAGAAAGTCTAATGGAAAGTGCAACAGTCCCAAGAATCATGTAAGCCAGTTTCTTTCCCTTCTCATGTTTAGCCTCAGACATTACATATACTGTACTGACATCTGAATCACATATATCTTAAATAAAGGAAACAACTTAAAAACAATCGTTTCCATTTAGGCCTTGAACTGTAACCAGTCCATTTACATGCGGACTTTGTTACCATATGGTAACTCTATTTTCCTTAGGATTTTCTTAACATTTTTTCTCTAGCTTACTTTACTGTAAGAATATGGTATATAATACATATACAAACGAGGTGTTAACTGAATGTTCAGGTTGTCGGTAAGGCTTCCAGTCCACAGTTGGCTGTTAAGTTTTTGGGGGAGTCAAAAGGTGTATGTGAATTTTCAATTGCCTGGGAGGGTTGGCGCTCCTAACCCACTCATTGTTCAAAGGTCAACTGTAATGTTAAATTGTCTTTAAAAACACCATACAGCCTTTAATGCATTTATTAAAAGATGCCTACATTGAATTCCATGCAGGTAACATTCTTCACTTATCCATGTAAGAATGACTCCTATTCTATTCCCCGGAGCTGGTCAGACTTCCCCTATGTCCTTACTGCATGTAATCCTATATGGCATTTCCTGAAGAGAACCATGTTACGTGTCCCATATGCATTATTTAAAATATATGTCCTTTCCAAAAGGCCTACTTAAAAGCAATCAGTTACATATTTGATTCCTTGAGACTTGTACTATTTGTACATTAGTTTGTTTTTTTTTTACAAATTGTGTTCATAATATAAAATGTAATTTTACCATGTTCACACTGAAATTGTAGCTCAAAATTACCTAGAAAAACTATTCTCTAAAGTAATCAAATTCATAGAAACAAAGTAGAATGGTGGTTACCAAGGGCTGAGGGGAGGGATGGGGAGTTGTTTAATGGCTACAGTTTCAGTATGACAGGATGAAAAATTTCTGGACATCAGCTGCACAACGTGAATATACTTAACAGTCCTGAACTGTACATTGAACAGAATTTGCCAGCTTAACCATTTTTATGTTTTTTAAATATGTTTAATAAAATTACCTGGAAAAACTAAAGTGTAAAATATATTTGTCAAAAGGGATGGAGAAGAAAAAAGTCATTCACATGAGACAAAGTACATGCAATACTTTTATTTTAGACGTGCAAGAAAAGCGATTTCAGAATCTACTAATTTAAAGCAAGCAGCTGTATACAAATAACAAAAGAAGCAACACCTTGTTACAGCTCAGCACACAGCATCCAAAGCAAACAGGCATGAGACAATGCATATTCAGCATTAAAACCAGATGAATAACATATTGCAGGGTTGGGGGAGGGGCAGAGGACAACAATGGAAATGAAAGACCAGTGTCTCCCAATGCTTTCAAGGTATAATGCTAAGTTTCTCATTTGATAGCCCATCCAGGTGCTTCAAATGTCATGCAGTACAGCGAGAATGGAAAGAACTGGTCTGCATACCTGCCTAATAGACACTCTCATAGGTCGTCTTTCAGTGGTAAACCTGTTTGAGCATCTTTTGAATTGGTTTAATGATAGCTTACTTAATCAGGCTTTAAACTCTACATATAAGCAATGAATTATTGGATACTTTTCCTTTCATAATAAGTTGCACGTTTTAAAACTATACACCATAATCAATATTAAGTCTTAATATTTAGAATATAAAACTATAGTTAACAAATCATTAAGTATTTAAATGAAGACTTAATCTATTATAAATCCATCACTAATAAAATACTAGTATTTAAACTGTATTAGGATTTTAACTATATAAACAAACTCAGTATTAACATTTTGAAAAGGTTATTTCCTATTAAACAACAGATACTGTAGAAGAGACTTCTAACACAGTTTTCTGATCATTCTTAAAGGGACTGTTCAATATTGTGTGGCACAAATGTGATCCAATATACATGGCATTACAAACTTAAGAACTGTGAATGTTTCACCCTTAAATATTATGTAATAGTACAGATTTTACTTTCTTGAATTATTTCCAAATATACTTTTATGTGATACGTTAGAATACATTAGCTCACAGAGAGCTGTAATACAGTCACACTAAATAGAATTTCTTTTCTCCCCCAACATCTGAAGACCAAGTCACAATGTATGTTATGACACTGTTTATTCTGCTGTAGCACTTCTGCTATATGCTCTTTGGTAAAAACTTTAACGATTGCTAACGTTTCCTCTTACAAGATGAATCATGTACGTGTTTAAGGTGAAATACTACTCAAAACATTCACAGGCCATATTTCAAGAAGAAATTAAACCAGTTGAGAGCAGGAATAAACTATATCAAGATCATATATAGAATGAAAATCAGAGAAATGACGACAGGAAAAAAAATTACAATGGTGAAGGTATTGATTCTGAAATGATTATACAAGATAATCAGTCACCAAGCTGAGGGCATTTTCTTTCATAAGTATATCAGCTCTCTATTTCCTCTGTGCAATTCTGCATACACGATGAGTAGTCATTTAGTACACAGGGACATTAAAATATTCATGACGTGGCTACAAAAGAAATGCATATATTCTTATACAGTATACAAACTGAGAGACACAATCAGATTTCTAGAATGTTTACTGCACAGTAAAGAAAATGGAAACTTAAATTTTTGTTTTTGTTCTTTGGTCTGTGGCTGAATATTTAGCTTATAAACAGTGCTAAAGGAGTTCAGATTCCTCTTTTAAAAACCTCATAATCAAATGATCTATGTCCTACAAAATCCAAAAGCACTGTATTTAGTAACAGGCTGAAAAGATTTTCAGTGTAAAGTCATCTGGTCAGTACTGAGTTAACTGAAAGTTCAATTAGAACACTACCTCCCGCCAGTCTTCAAGTATGTCAGGATTTTATTACACAAAGTAAAGGAATTTAATCCGTTAATGAAAATCGTTACATCCTAAGGTGACCATAAACTCTTTTACAGATCCTAAAGGAAAATCTTTCCCAAGAAGTAGTGGAAAAGCAGTCACCCATTTGGTATTTTAAGTAGCAATGGAGGTTTTTAATGGTTCACTTAGCTTTAAAAAAAACAGAACAAAAAGAAAACAAAAAACAACAACAAAAACTCCAAAGACAATGCCTTTAAGACTGAGGATATTACTTTTTAAATAATCCTCAAGATAGATTATAAAGAAATCTCCAAAAAGATGTCAACTGTCTATGCCTACAAATTTATGTAAATAGAAGTTTCTCATGTCAACGAGGTAACCTGAGGTGAGGTTTTAAACTGAGCCTAGAGTGTCCAGAGATGGATTTCTAGGGACTCCACAAACCCCTTAAAACTAGAGGCAAAATTCTGTGCAGATTTTCCTGAGAAGAGGGCCCAGGGCTCTTTAGACTCTCAAAGGGATTTTACCCCTGCCAAAAGGCTTGTGATTCAAAGTTTAAAATTGCTCATTTGAGTGCTTCTAAAATATCCTCATTTTAATATTAAATTCGGCATTTTGAAATGTTAGGCTACAAAGTCATGTAAACTGTTCAAATATGTGACAGATCTCTCATACGAGAACCATTAAATATAAAAGTATCTGAGAAGCACCAGTTAAATTTTAATCCTCAGATAATTCTTAAACACTTTCAAGAGACAGTTGTGCCTTCTTCCTCACTCAATACAGTGGAATGAACCAGCAAGTTAAAATAATGTAATAAACCCCAAATGCTTCATGTTCTTATGGAAGCTCTCATTTGCATAGGGGAATTCTATTTCTGTTATCAGTGACATTAGCGCTTCACAGTATTTACTAATACTTTTTTGTCAAAGAACCTCTGAACCTATTTCAATAGTCTGTGTAAAAAAAAAAAAAAAAAAATTCTAAGTCCCAACGATGAATGACTAGCAGAGTAAAATTCCCTATGAAAATAGCAGTTAAACGAAGTATTGGGACTATCCCTTAAGATTTAATGGAATCAGACTTATCAGGTAATACTAAAATATAAATAACAAACTTGACAAAAACCAAACTGAATTCATAGGTCCTACTACATTTTGATGCGTGTCAGAACTCCAGCACGTATTCTAGTACGCTCTCTTACACCCAATGAAACTCTTGCTGTGATACATATTCTCTGTTTTCTGGAGAGAGAACAAGAAAAGTTTAAGTCTGTCAACCTTTCACCTAAATAGCAGTTCTTTGAACCTTTATATTATAGCTTTAAATCTTTTTGTTTTCTCTTAATTCTATACACACTGTGCAAAAACCAACCATGGAGAGCGTATGCCCATTGAAAGAAAAGAGAAAGGTAGTGTCCCAAGTAGGGCTGAGCACACCAGCAGTCCTCCCCAGAAGAGACTTACTATGGAAGAAAACAAACAGCTCTCAAACATGACTGCCCGGCATGTCTGACAGACCTTTTACTACACTTCGTAAAGGAAAGGGGAGATGCTAAACCAAACTATTCCTTACAGCCAATGATCCATATTAAGTATACTTAAACAAGAAATTAGCATCTATCAAGTGTAAAGAATATTCTTCACAGGGAAAAATATTCTTTCAGAAACCCTAAAATGCACACAAATAATGTATCCTTTTACCACTTTTAAGTTACCGTAACATGTTTCAATAATTTCTCAGTTGAGACGGTCTGAAAAAGCTGTGCTATAAATGCCTTAGTGACCACTTAACATTTAAGGTTAATTTTAAGCTGAATGATAGATATGCCCACATTAGCCAAATGATTTTTTTCTCTAATATCCAAAGAAAATATGACAGCGGATTAAATATAACTCTAGTATTCTGGGCCCTCACACTATCAGTACATCTAATGAGTCATGGAATAATTATTTACTTAAGAATTGGGGAGGGTGAGAGTCAAGCGTGTCATAATGCACAAGGGGTCCTGTGCAGAACCAGAACTACTATCTTTTTCCACTACCCAGGTAAGGTGAGTTTCTTAATACACTAAAACATCAGCGATTTCAAACACAGGGGAATAGAGGCCAGAATGAAAACAAACATTTGTTTAATACAGTTGTTTTATTACACAAATACCGCAAATTGCCCTTAGTACCAATTCTCTGGAGACCTGTTCTCTGATTAGAGATTAGACATTATTTTCAACCTGAAATGGGCCTACAGTCCTGGGCAATCCTTTTACTCCTCACTCATTTACTCCCCAGTTAAGTCTATTCCAAACCCTCAACATTTCCCTCAGGTTATCTATGTCTCCTCTTTCTCCTCCGTCCCTAGCAGCTCTTCTCTAGACGAGTTTCTCAAAGAAAATGACAACTTTCTCAATTTCGCTCATCCAGCTGATGAGGAAAAAACAAACTACAGCTTTACTCAGTTATCTCCTCCTAACAGGAGGAAGATGCGTCTTGCCTAAGACCAATGCTTTTGATTCCATTCCCATTCACCCTGCCAATATACTTTCCCCTTTAGTCTATCGCTGTCTGCATTTGCTCCTTCTCCTTAGTGTACGTGCATGTATGTTCAACTTTCCTCCATACTAAGAGTAACTTTCTTCTCAACCCCCTACAAAAAGAACCAGAGGTAGCGGGAAGTGGAGGTTAACAAACACAGCAGAGAGAGGAGTTAAGTTACACCTGTTCTTAAAACTGCCTACATTGCTAAGACAAACTCCATCACCTTCAAAATTCCCAGAAAGTCACCATACTAGGCCGATAACTCCTGACAATATGGGAAACTGTAATGAAATCTGGTAAGCTAGCACTTATCTGAAGACTTAAGTCTTGTTGAGATGAGTGCTTAAGTTAACTACTGGTATTGGATCCCGATTTTCTAGTACACAAAGAGAAAATAGCTTACATTTAATGAAAAATACAAGTAACTATAATTTGAAGTTACTGCTTTATTCGTTTTTCTTGTAGAGGGGCTTCACTTATTTCTTGTACTAAAAGTAGTATCCTCTGTCCTTCATGTTCTAGAATACAAAGGTCCAGGGGCGCCTGGGTGGCTCAGTCGGTTAAGCGACCGACTTCGGCTCAGGTCATGATCTCGCGGTCCGTGAGTTCGAGCCCCGTGCTGGGCTCTGTGCTGACAGCTCAGAGTCTGGAGCCTGTTTCAGATTCTGTGTCTCCCTCTCTTTCTGCCCCTCCCCCGCTCACACTCTGTCTCTCTCTCTCTCTCTCTCTCAAAAAAAACATTAGAATATAATGGTCCTTTTTACTGCCCCTCACTGTATTCTGTGGCAGAATTCCTACCCTCAACTCTGGAACCCTATTCCTTGTGCTTAAAGACCAAACGGCCAGAGAAGATCCAAATTCACGAAGATCTATGTTTAGCAATGAATAGAAAGAGAAGAACTAAAAGCCCTTACAAGGTACCTTTTATGACACAGCTCATAATGTCAGTCGTATTCCATCAGCAATTGTGAGGCACTAGTAAAGTCAGAAAGTTTTCTGACATTAAGTTAGCAACGACTGGCAAGAGCAATATGGTTGTTCCAGATAGTTAGGGTCTAAAATGGCCAAGAGCATACAAATGCCTCACTTTACATGCTGGAACTTTCTTTTTAGCAAATTCTACCTGATTTTACCTAATGGAATAACACAATGTGTACTCTCCCATTCACACAACATCATTTTGTCATTTAAAAAACTTGTAAATTAGGGGCGCCTGGGTGGCGCAGTCGGTTAAGCGTCCGACTTCAGCCAGGTCACGATCTCGCGGTCCGGGAGTTCGAGGCCCGCGTCGGGCTCTGGGCTGATGGCTCGGAGCCTGGAGCCTGTTTCCGATTCTGTGTCTCCCTCTCTCTCTGCCCCTCCCCCGTTCATGCTCTGTCTCTCTCTGTCCCAAAAATAAATAAACGTTGAAAAAAAAAGTTAAAAAAAAAAATAAAAAACTTGTAAATTAAAAATATATTTCTACTTCTAGTACATGTTTGTTTTACAGTTCTAGAAAAGGGAGGGGGACCTCAAACATTTTCACAGGTAATGCTGATAAGTTAATGTCCCACTCCTAGATCTTTCCTCACTTGATATACTGTGAGTATCTTTCCTTACCATTACATAGAAATCAATCTCATTGCTTTTACAACCAGGTTAACAGTTCCATGTATGTAGGTAGCATAATTTTCTTAACCTATTTCCCACTGATTAACATTTGGGTAAGTTCCAATGGCTTAATATTACACTGAGTCTTAGTGTATTTGTATATTTCTTTTGGACACAATTCCTTGAAATTTAACTGATGGGTCAAAAGGTGTACACATTTAACTGTTAACAGCACCAAACTCATGCTCCAAAATGGACTACAAAGTTTAAGTGGTCATAAGCAGCAGACAAGAGCGTTGCTCATCCATGCCAATCCAAGAACCAAAAGAAGTTATCATTCATATTTTAATTTACATTCCCTTACATAAAAGGACCATTTGTTTTTTCTCTCATCTGTGAATTATTTTCTTTCATCTGTGAATTATTTATTTATATCTACTGTTGTCTTTTTCTATTGTGCTGTTGATCTATTTCTATTCCACGTCTCAAAAGTTTGTCTTAAAAATGATAGGGATAACTACCATCTTGTAAACCCTGCTCTAAAACCTATTAGTTATAAAATACTAAGGACAAATTACTTTCTCTGGCAGTTAATTATACTTTTCAAATTAAAAAAACCAGACTAATTAGCAAATATCACTTTAGACTTGAAATAGTTTTAAGCATACTTTAGGGTAACTGTATTGTATTTGCCTTGGTCTTCCATTTGGATCAGGACTTGAAATGCTTTAAATTTGATCAGGGTTTTCAAAACATAAAAGATTTCCTTGAATCACTGAATTTCAAATATTCAAACTCTCTATCTTTGCTAAGTAAGTTCTTGAAGGCTAGTAAGGTACAGAAGAACAACAACAAAAAAGTCTGCATGTACAATAAAAGCCTGTATTTGCAAATTCTGATCATTTAAATTATTCCTCCTATAAAAAAAAATGATCAAATCCCTAAAGTGAATGGGGAAAACAGCAGAAAATTAAAAAAAATATTCTAACTGCCTGCAGGGTATACTCAATTCTGTTTCCATGTAAAAACTCAATTACCTTAACAGACATCAACATATTTGGTTATTGTTCAGGAAACGAAATTATATAGTGACAACCCACAAGCTTTGCTGTGGGTTAGGTGTTGAAGTCAACCACAGATTATCTCCCCAGGCACTGGTTATCAAGTAAGGGTGATTTCATTGACTCACAGAGGTGATTTTTATAGCCATTTACATGTTCTTATTAAGCACATTTGTCCTTCTTTTACTGTCCTTAGGGTTTTTTTTCCCCCTCCTACTTTTGATTCATCGCAGCCAATCATTTATACTCTGGACTATATATTATATTGAAAAGATATAGTGGTCTGTAAAATGTAAATGGAATCTTTGTATATATATCCTATTGTGTTAAACTAAAGTTTCTTAAGCAGGGCACTCCTGATACTTGAGGCTGGATAAATTCCTTATTCTAGGAGGGCTGTCCTGGGCACTGTTGGACGCTTAGCAGCATCCTTGGTCTTTACCTACTAGATGCCAGTAGCACTCCACTGCCTGTTGTGACAATCAAAAATATGTCTAGGCATTGTTTAATGTTCCATGAGGAGGCATAATTGCCCCACTCCCCATCCCAGTTGAGAACCACTGAGTTAATCTAATCGTCCCTGGTTGATGGGTAAATTATGTTTTAGTGTGCGTACCTGTATTTGCTCATTCTTCTATAATGGACATTTTTATTTAAAAAAAAAAGGCAATAGAGGAAACAATAAAAGAAAATGTAAAAGAATGTGTCAGTAGGGGGGGAAAAACCCTCAAACCTTGAAATTTTTCAGAAAGTACTTTTTAAAGAAAAAAAGTCACCACCAACGGCTAGGAATATGCTCTTTGCAGGTGCCAGTCTTAGGCCTCATGCAATCAATTTAGTAGATCAGGATCAGCATCGAAGAAAATAGAAGAGAAAATGTGAGATTGCAACACAAGAAATAAAAGTATTATTTAACAAAATATTTTTTCAGTTTATGTGCGTGTAACTACTGTGATATAAAAATGTATTTTACTGTGGGTTCTTGTCAAATATCTTTGAAAATCAGATTTACAGCTACTGATTTTAAGTTACTCCAACTTTTCATTATTACAAATAGCCCAGAGTAGCAAGAGCAGGCTCAAAATGAGTTGAAATGAAACTCATTTAACTCATAAAAATAAACGGGGGGGGGGAATCCTCAAATTCTGAAAAGCAGGCAAATACAGAGCTCAAAAAACACATCTAGAACAAAATGATTAGAACCTGAAAACCAGTGATCAAGGACATTGGCCAAATTGTTTCTTATAAAGCGTAAAATGAAAGACAAGATTTGTTCTGCCTTTTGTTTTTTCTGCATCTGCCTTTCTGTATTTTCCATTTCAAGCATTAATGTAACCAAACCTTACTTATCTAGTTTGTTCTAGCAGACCCCAATCAAGTTTACCTATAAAAAATTACAATATGGGGGCGCCTGGGTGGCTCAGTCAGTAAAGCGTCTAACTCCCAATTTGGGCTCAGGTGATGATCTCATGGTTTGTTGGTTTGAGCCCCATGGAGCCTGCGTGGGATTCTTTCTCTCCGTCCCTCTCTCTGGTCCTCCCCTGCTCTCGCTCTCTCTCTCAAAATAAATACACTTAAAAAAATTAAAATACGCTGGCCTTGTTAACTTTTAACCCAATTTAAAAGAAAAAGGGTTAGGCTTAAAGGCTTTAACAAACAATGGAAATCACAAAGGAATCAAAGGAGTTTGTCTTATTAAACCAAATCCTAAGAGGATTTATATCAAAACACTTTTTGCTGTTAAAGGATATTGTAAATATTTGAACATATCTAGCTATTGTAAAACAATGTACAATATTCTTGAGTTTGAGTAGCATGCCCAAACATTCTTAATTAACAAGATTTTAATTTAACCCCCCCCAACTTTATACTAAAAGGCATGTTATTAAATACTCCAAGTACTTATTTACTTAAAAATAATTTTAGGTTACAAAAGATTCATTTTTAAAAATCACTTTTTCTAAGATTCTTACCTTTCCATTTTTATGCAGTCCAACAGATTTATTATTACTTCCACAAAGATGTTGCATAGTACTAAGATATATCATGCAGCCCCAGCACTAAAACAAATCAATTTTAGCAGCGCTAATTCTCCACAGAGCACCACTTTCTAGCTGAGGCAGATTAACAACTGCATATCCGAGTGAATCTCTTCATAAAGTGGATCATCTCAAAGTAGAAGCAAATTCATAAGTGTAATGCTTGCTTTTGGTACCTCACTTATTTTTCATTTCTCAGATTACTTTGTGAGAAACAATACCAACAGCAAACAAAGCTCAAAAGGAAAACCCCCACAAATTTCAAAATGATGCTGTTAGTATAAAAAAGAAAGGCTGACACATCTCAAAGCGCTGATCAACACCATCATGCATCTACGGCTGAGGTTAAAGCCCGACGCCCGGTATTTAACTATTTGATCTTCACGGATCAGGCAAGGACTTGAAATCATCTCACGTGCAACAGTCTTTGCATAACACCCCACTTTATCCATGCCACAAAGATGGTAAATTTAGTAGTTACCAAGAAATAAGTTGGGGGTCAAAGGGACTAAAGCCTTAGACTGCTCTTTATCATAAGATATCCTCAGACAAACCTCCCCATTCTTCATTCTGGCTCTATAAAATTAAGGAGCAGAGAAAAACTGGTAAGTGCCTGACTTTACAAAGAAAATGCACTCTACATTTCCTTGGTCATTACATGTATGTTTATAAATCAACTGTACCACTCCCCCAGGTCCTCCCCCACAAAAAGCTAGCTTAAAATAGGCACTTAATTGGTGGTGTGGGTGGGGAGGTGGAATGTTCCAAGTATTGCAAAAAATGTCAGTTTAGTAATCTCGGCATGTTGCACTTTAGTAATTTAAGAATCAAGTACCAGTGGCATGTTAAGAAAACGTGTTAAATTCCAACAGACATTAAAAATTGGATAATAGACCAATTTTTCTGGGCTTTACCCCCAAATCTATGTATTCACAGAACCAAACACCAAAAGGAATACATATACAGTTCAGTCTAGAAATGTCAAAACTGAACCACTATTTACCAAGTAATTAAGTAAAATAAAAAAGGTCTTTATTATTTGATCACAGTGTCTGATATCGTAGCAATTATTCAAATACCCATTGATGTTATGTTCTCATTACTGATTATAATATGCTAATAGAACAGCTACCGTATCCACTGACTGTCTGTCCTGTTGGTCTATAAAACGAAGGACTACCTGAACAAACTATGTGACATATATACAAATCAGGTAAAAGAGAAATTTTTCTGAAGAAAAACATTCTTAAGGATAGAAATGTATATTTCACAGATTTTAAAAGGTCTAAAATCAAAATTATTTTATGATTTCCCATGTAACATCAAGCCAACAAATATTTGCATTATAAATTTAAAGGCATCTTTGGTGTCTAGAAATAGTCAATTCAAGTAAAAGACCTGACACCAAATAGAAAAGTCACAATACATGGAAAAGTAATTAATTAGGCCCTCCACAAATTTAAACTTGCATCTAGATGAGTGTCTTTACAGCCATATTTACAATGTTGGAAGCAAAATCATTTCATGACATAGGCTAAATGAATACTATATCCCAAATTTTAAGACCAAAAGAGCTACTATAAATCCAGGAGTTTAGATAAATCCGAGAAGAAACGATTTAAACAATTATTATTTATGCATCCAACTGAAAAATACCAACTACTGATAATGTGGACAATGAAAATCTTCAGTATAAAAGGTAAAAAATGGTATCTTAGAAAATCTATTCTGTTCCATACAGAAAAACCTCCAGAATGATTAATCTCTTTATTCCTGAAAAACACAGAAGTTGGTACCTAAAACAGAAGGTTTAAAATACACATACCAAGACAATACACAAAGGGGGGCGTGGGGAGGGTGACGGGGGAAGGGAGAGAGATGGACAGAGCTCAGTGGTTAAGATTTCACACAGCTCTGAAGTCTAGCAGATCTGGGTTTGGAATGCTAGGACCAGTTGCTGGAACCTCACTGAGCCTCTCCTTCGTCATCTGTTAAAAAGGTACTCATGATCTTTCTCAGGGCATGTTGACGATTAGCACAGGATGCTTCACAAATACATACTCAGTAAGCATTAGCTCTCATCATAGTTCTTTTTTTTTTTTATTTCATAGTTCTTTTTTGTCGTCATAGTGTCCAGACCTGATCTCATGACTGACTATATGTAATATGCTAAGAGAAAACCTACTTTATCACCTGATGGTCTGCCTTGTTTGCCTGTTAAAGGACTACCTAAACAAACCAAAACATGTTTATATAAATTGGGTAAAAGGGAAATTTTTAGCAAATTTAGAAATTTTAGAAACTTAGCAGTCTGTGAAATGCTTTTTCTCATCTTATTCCACTATTTTATGAACATAATATTCAAATACTCTCCTAGAGATGTAAACATGTATCATGTATCAACATATAAATGAATCTATTTTAGGAAACAATCATCTTGTCATCCCTGGATTTGTGACAGTATGTTGGCAAATAAGCTAAATGAGTAACAGGTTAACCTGAACAGAATCATCTGAAGCCTTACTGCCACAAAGAGACTTTAGCTTGGCTTCATAAAAGCCTTAATCTGCAATGTATTATAACTCACTCTAAATTCAGAACAGACTAGCCACATTCTGCCTCCTCAAGAACTGAATGGCTACATTGAGAAAAATGGTTTATTCAGACACCAAATAGACACTGTCTTAATGTACTATCACTTTGGTTTATGTACAAAATGACGTTAAGGTCACAGATAAGAAACTGGGCAAAATTTCTCTTCTAAAGGTAAGAAACTGTAATTAATAGCAGTCAAAAAAAATTTTTTTAAACTAGGGTGAGACAGGGTAAGGAAAATCTTACATGGAACCATAGACATCCAATGCTTCTCTCTACTCCTTTCTACTAAAGATAAAAAAAATACTGCTTCAAAAAGGGAGGTATTATTTACTATTAAAATACTTTAATAGGGGAGATACACACACACACACACACACACACACACACACACACACACACACACACTTACAAATAAATATGGACTTGTACTAACGTTTTTATCCCCGATACATCAAATACTCAACACATGCTATAAAGTAAACTTAGTACATTTGCCGTATTTACAAAGTCAATAGCAAGTTCCCAGTAGTTTAAACAACAGTCCAGACACAGGAGAGATCAGTACCCTAAACACTACTCTCCAGAAAAAAATATATTAAAAGGTGAACTTCAAGAACTTTAAAATGTTTTAAGGCAGATGGAATTAATCAAGAAATGATGAAGAACCTGGAGGAAATACCAGGATCTGACATAATATAACTCCATAATAACAAAATATAAAAGTGAACAAGGGAAGAGACAAATATGAAAAATTCATAGTTCCTGATTCTGCTTTTAACCGAATTTTTAGAAAAGTCTGATTAGTAAACAGCAAAATAAGGAGGTGCTAACTTTAAAACCACATATGAGCTTGCGGTCAGAATATCAGAAGTTAAAAAAGGATCTCCCCAGTGACATGTCTGCAATCAATGAATAAAGCACCGCGGCGAGCTGTACGCACTCAGGAAAGGCGCCGTGCCCCTTTCACTACTGACAGCGGATGGCATCAGGGCTGCCAACCAAAGATTCCACTGGTGCAGGCATCTTAACCACTGTTTTGGTACCTCGAGATCATTACACGCACAATGTGTTGTCTCACGTTTAACAGGTGTATATTCTGGATGATATCGTCCCAACTTTGAGCAATCCTCACAACTGACCCAGTCAGTGACTGATGCAGAGCCATTATTGAGGCCCTTCCTCCCACAGGGGCCCACTAGAAATTATAATGGACAAAAAGAGATTTACTCTTCTTAGTTCACATTTCTGTTATAGCAGAAATGCTAAAAAACTGGATTTAAAGCCTCCTTTCATAGTAAAAAAGGCAATTATCTTAATGAAAACATACATTTTTTATATTCACTACTCCTTTCTATTTGATTAAAACCACAATTACTGCTAAAGCATAATTCAACTTGGTATCTGAATTAAGGTATCCTTAAGTTTTTTGAAAAAGGTGGCCCTATCTGTGAAACTTTAAACTTCGGAAATTGAAGGTCCAGAAACAACAAATACACAGTTAACCCAGGACAACTATGGAAACTGGAAACGGAAGATGGTTTATAAATGGCTCTCGTGATAGATATCAAGGCAAAATAAGAACACAGTCATTTGACAGAACACGGTTTGTTATTTAAAAAGAGCCAAGAGAAGGCCAACTACCTTTTAGTTAGTCTTGCTAACATAAAACTACAGACGTCTACAAAAAGTGTAATTATAACACTGTCATTTGCTTGGCTACATTTGCACTTAATGGACATGAGGTGAAAATATGAACCAATCTGGGATGAAAACGCCACAGTCTCACAGTCAACTCATGGAGAACAGGGGTTACCGTAAGTAAGTAATTCACAACAACGGATGGAGAGTTCTCAAATTCCTGTTATCTTGATGAATCTTTTCCCTTCTTAGTCTGTCCTCTAAAGGTTCAGACTCTCTCGTGTTTTAGGGTCCAAAAATGGGCCATCATTATGACAGACCATCTCCAAAGTAAACAATCCATCCACAGATAACTGAGTTGATGAGATGGACACATATTCCCATCAAGAAACTGTACATGGACACTACATGCCAAGCATGCTTCAGAGTAATTTCTGAGAGTCTACGAATGAGGGAGCACAACTGAGACTTCCCTGGCAAGAGCAAAACATGCTACTGCCCAGCGAAGAGAACTCTGATTAGCTTACCTCCTGCAGTAGATCAGCCTGCTCAATTGCTTTAAGGACATTTTTCTTGGATGTTTCCTGAACTTCCCCTCCCAAAAGAAACTCATCCAAAATAAAATAAGCCTTCTCAAAATTAAAGATGATATCAAGTTCACACACCTGAAAAGCAAGGAAAACAATGGTAAAACTGAAAAAAGCAAAAGGTACTTACCCACTATCAGGTAGTGAATAAAATCTGATCAGAGCAAATCCATCTTAATTCTTTCTAAAAATGGCAATCTTGCTAACTAAGCATCATCAATTTAGTCAGCATATTTCTCAAATCTCAAGTACTTGGAAACACAACGCCTACAAGCTAAGTAAGAAAGACCTGATTCTGGAAGCTCCCAACATGGGCAACGTAATAATTTTCTACTCACAAAAACTGATCTTTTTAAATACGTATTTCCCGGATAATGTGATCGTAACTGCTTACCAAATCTAAATTCTATATTAAGCACTTCCAGAATGTTAATCTCTGCAGTTGAACTCCTTTCTGTTTCACTATTTTAAACCTTATTCTCACGACCGTCATTAAATGAGGCAGCGGGGTCAAGCACTGCGGCAGTTAAGTGGCTGTGCACGCTGGCAAGAGTCAGAGTCAGCCCTTCTCTCTCCTGCAGTTACTTTCAAAGAGTCAGAATCCCCAAGACAATCAAATAATAAACTTGTTACAGAAAAGATTAAAAAAAGATACTATGGCTTTCAATTTTCTAAAACAAAATACTACTCACACTGCCAAAATACTTGTCAAGTAATTCCACATAACGATGAATTATTTCCAGGGTAATTAGCTCATTGTCCTGATCCTCGATAGCACAGCAAAAATACAGACTAGCATATCTGTAAGAAAAGCAAATGTGGAAAAAATTTTACTCTATAATCATGTTTTCTAAATATATTTTCATATCCTATTGTGAAAGACCCCATACTTAAACAATTCATTTTCCCTTTTACAACAGTGTAGATTATTTTCCTCCCGGAGTGCAAAAGTAATGAATGCATATAGAGAAAGTTTGAAAGGTACAGGCAAGAAAAAAAAAAAAAAATCACTCAAATCACACCATCTAGAAAGACAAACTTATTCTGCTCTTCTTCCTTTCAGGCTCCTTTCTAAGAATATTCATAGAAATACATATAATATTCTAAAACATAGCTGGACCCAGTTACAAAACACATTGAATGAAATACAACGGTCCTCAATTGTATGAAATACGATCTTGTGTTTACTTAACTAAAACAAAATGCACTGTGATTAATGCAAACTACAAGTAAACAGGGAAGAAGATAAACTTTCCGACTAAAGGACTTATTGAAGATATTGTCAATGTGAAGCCAATGTCCCAAAATGTTTTACTGGAGCGTTAATATGCACAAAGAGAACACAAATCATGTATGGACAGCTTAAGGAGTTTTCAAAGTGAACCCACCTGTGTATCAGCACCCTGATCAAGAAACAGATTATCGAACTCCTGAATCCCCTCCCCTAGCCTTTCCAGTTCACCACCTGCCACCCCAAAGGGTAACTACTATCTTGACTTCTAATAGCATAAAATTGTTTTTTAAAAGGAGGTTTCTAGATCTGTGGAATAAACTCCAAGAAAAGAACAGCTCTGTTTTTACAGAAGTTAGAGAAAGAGAACAGGGGAAAACTGAAACCTGTCCTCAAATTTTCCAAGTTCTACCTGTTAAATGAAAGTTTTGGTTATTTACCCTTCATGAAGAATAAGATTGGAAAAGTAAATATTCTCTTCCAAATTAGGATTGTAGCACATGGGACTAGACTATACTTGACTCAAGGAAGCCAAAACTTAAGACAACCTTGAGGCATAGCAAACAATGACCAAGTCCTTTGAGGAGGATTAAAAGAACATTTTCAAATGGTTTAAGTGTATTAAAGGCTTTTGAAACAAACAAAAAACAAAACACCTATGACATTCTTAACAAGTCTCAGTTTAGATTGTAATTTTCACTGAGGAGCATTTAAGGGATTTTTGGGAAACACGATGAGCAACTACTGCTCATAGCACTGATGGAAAATAATATATGCAAACACATAATCTGTTTTGGAACCCAATGAATTTCTGCTCTTCAGTATGAGAGTAACTAGTATTTACAGAATCCTCTATTAATTTTAAATTTATCAACTGATTAAGTAAAGATCAATTATTTGATCTTTCCAACAGCAAGCACCATCATCCTTGACTGGGGGGTGGGGGGTAGAGGACAAAAAAACTGAGGCCCCAAGAGTACAGGGTCTGCTAAGTGGTTGCTCTGGTACAAGAAATCTGATCTTCGGACATCAACTCCAGGCCTTTTCCCACTCCACCTTAGGGACTCCCTTGTCATCCACAGCTTGACTTTTCTGCCATGTCCACTCTACCGGACTCACACATTCAGTGAGTTATTTAAAATGGTAGAAGAGTCTGTTGCAGTCTTAGAGAGGGGGCTTTCCAATGTGTTCATTTATTAGCATGAAGGACATAACAGGGCACCACCTCCAACTTTAACAAAATGTTTCCTCTCTTTCCTACCCTATGGTTTTATCTGTTTAACAGGCAATGGGATGTCCCAATTCTCCACCCTCCCTAACCCATGCTCACCAAATAGTTTTGAATTTGGGGAAATTGATACAAATGATACGTTACAAGTCCCTGAATTAAGAAAACTAAAAATTAAAGGAACTGGCATTAAAATGGTAGATAAAGGGGCGCCTGGGTGGCGCAGTCGGTTAAGCCTCCAACTTCAGCCAGGTCACAATCTCGCGCTCCGTGAGTTCGAGCCCCGCGTCAGGCTCTGGGCTGATGGCTCAGAGCCTGGAGCCTGTTTCCGATTCTGTGTCTCCCTCTCTCTCTGCCCCTCCCCCGTTCATGCTCTGTCTCTCTCTGTCCCAAAAAAATAAATAAACGTTGAAAAAAAAAAATTAAAAATGGTAGATAAAAAAAAAACAGCCACGAACAGCGCACATGAACAGGGTGCTATTTCAATAATCCCATTAGAAAGAATTTACTAAGTCAGTTACTAATAGTAAAATTCCTTTTAGTCTTAATGTCAGCATTTCGACAATGCTACTGTTAAGTAATCGAATGCTTGCCCCATGGTCCTTGCTCCTCATCCACAGTACTGCCAGTGCTGCCTTATTACAAATAAACAGCACTGAAACACTAGTCATCGGTCTTCAACTGTAGAATCACTTGGAAATATTAACTTAACTATCACAAGGACTGGGGGCTCCTGGGTGGCTCAGTCAGTTAAGTGTCCAACTCTTGGTTTTGGCTCAGGTCATGATCTCACAGTTCTTGAGTTCTAGCCCTGCATCAGGCTCTGTGCTACAGCTTGGGATATTCTCTCTTTTGCTATCGCTCTCAAAATAAATAAATAAACTTAAAATTAAAGAACTGTTTTAAATACCACCAGGACTGATGTGTCTAAGCATCAGCTGATAGTATTTTAAAAATCCTGCAATTCTACCTAAATGTAGAATGGACAAAGAGCCATCCAAGTAAACAAATTCTTTGCTGTAAGTGAACAGCTAGTTATCAGGATTCTAAGACACCACTTTACAGAAAGCTTACTGAAGAAACAGAATAGTGACAGGTAAGATTCACGGAGTCCTCGCTCTGAATGAGACACTAAATATTAGCTGAGGCTTTTGCATATTTTACTATTTGAATCCTCACAACTCTTCTAGAAAGATACCATTATTACTTGCATTTACAGGAGACCCAGGCTTAATTGAGTAACCTCCCTAGGAAGAGCAATTTGACTCCAAAGCCCAAGTTTTATATTAAAAACAATAACCAGGAACTGTATTAAATAGAGTAATCCTGCACCTGGCAAAAATTAAAACTGAATAGGCAGTATTTTAAGAGGTTTGAAGAGGCAGTGAAGTAAATGGTGTTACACTGATTTAGTAAAAGATTACCAAGAGAACCCTATTTTTGAGCCAAATGCTTTTTAAAACATTCAATTATGAGCTCATTTTTTCTTAGTACATATTTGTAAGTCTAAATCTGAAGTAAAATTAATAATAGACTAGTAAGAAGAAAGGCATGTTTGGTTATTTTTAGCACAGTGGATTAAGGCTTACTCTAATTACTGGCACTCAGAGAACATCTGAAAGTGCCTATTCTTATACTCAAAACACATGACTTCTCTGCAGTCAGCTAAGTGTCAGCTGACTATGGGTGAATGTAACGAAACTGTTCTCAATCCCACTGGTATGTCATTAAAAATTATTTTGTTAGTAAAGAAAATAAGGTATTCTGGCAAATTCTCAAACTAGTAATTTGGACCTATGTATTTTTAAACTCATTGTAAAACTTTAATCTAGTGCCTCTTCCATAGCATGCTGCATAAAATACACTCTTCAGCCTTTAAGGGATCTTCAAGAGCATTTATTTCAGACATGAGGAAAAAAGGAAAAATGACTTGTTTAAAGTTACAAAACTAGCTAAGGGTGCGAACCAAGCAGAACTCAAGTCCCCTGATTTTCAGTCTGTATTTTCAGCTATATTATCCCTATCAACCCCCCCCCCCCACCTGCTCCCCAAGAGGGGGAACTGTTTAAGTGAAATACTCAGCAAGAAGAATGTGGCTGAGACAAAGGGGGGAAGGAAGACCTAAAGACCACTTACTGACAGGAACAGCCAGAGTCCTGGTTCACAATCTCTCAGAAGTGATAGCTCTTTTGCTTAAAAAGGTCTTCTCTTCCAGCTGGACTAAGGGGGAAAAAATCACCTGTTTCTATGAATATGTCCTTACAAAGAATATGTCCTTAAATATAAAACATGAGGTTTTCAGTATGAAATGGGGCAGATGTATCGAAAAATTGACTGAAGATTCTAACTTCTGTAGGTGAATTTTATTTCAATAAAGCTGTTTTTTAAGTGCACCTTTTGTTTATAGCCGCTTGATACAAGTATCAGAGTCAGGTTAGATTACCCTTTATAGCCCTTCATAAGAAAAAGTGGCGACCCGACGTGGGTGGGCTGAATCCTGTGTGCGGGAATACCAAGGAGTGCTTTCTTTCCCTCTGTTTAACAGGCCATTGCCTTCTGCTGCAGGAATCTCGATTCCTGGGATTGATTCCCTTGCTAGTATTTTCCTCCTCCACACGGGGGACTCCTTCCTCTATCTAGAAATAAGCTTAAGTCACTCGCACCTTTTTAAAAACCCTGTTTCCGACTCCTGCATCTATGGGTGGTTACCACCTCTTCGTATCTTCGGAGCAAAGCTCCCCAAATAGTCTACACTTGGTGTTTAAAAGTCTCCACCTCTTCTTCACACTTTGCTCCATTTCTTCGAGACTCCTGTTCCTACTATTTCACTGAAAATGTTCCCACAGATGGCATTTTATGAACTCTCATTGTAAAACCTAAAAGATTCTTTTCTTCATTTAAACTGTTTTTGCAATTTTGGCAATGGTGACTTAATTTGCAAAACTCTCTCCCTTTCCCTGACGTTACTGACCCTATACAATACACCCTTTGCTTGCCCTTTGAATGCTGGTGATCTAACACTTTATGCCTCGTTTCCCCCCTGACTTCCACACTCACCCCGAGAAAACTAGGCATCTTCAAATGGAAGTCATACAGGCATCGCAAAGGCAACATGTCTGCTACCTCCAATTTACCCGTCAGCTGAACCAGAAATGTGGAATCACTGCACCCCCCCCTTTTAGCAGCCACCAAGTCTTCTAAAACTTACCTCATAGTAACAGCTCTCTCCACCTGCTGTGCACACAGCAGCAGTCTTCCTTCAAGGCCTCATTATAATGCGGTCTCCTTAAGAGACCCCCTCAGGTGCCAGTCCCGGTGCTCCCCTTACCCATTCTCCTATTACAAGGATCTTTTAAGAAATACATATGTGCTCTTTTCTCATCCCCATTTAAAACCTTTGCCTCTAGGCTTAATATTTCAGTTCTAGTCTCCATGTCAGTCACTAACTAGAACGTGACCTTGAACAAGTAAGGTCTCCCAAATTCTTCTTTTCTAAAATTGAAGTTTAATCAACAGTAGCCATCTTAGGGGCACCTGGGTGGCTCAGTTGGTTAAACATCCTACTTCGGCTCAGGTCATGATCTTATGGTTCATGGATTTGAGTCCCACATTGGGCTCTGTGCTGACAGCTCAGAGCCTGGAGCCTGCTTTGGATTCTGTGTTCCCCCCTCTCTCTGCACCTCCCCCGCTCACACTGTGTGTGTGTGTGTGTGTGTGTGTGTGTGTGTGTGTGTGTGTGTCAAAAATAAACATTAAAAACAAAGTAGCGTTTTAAAACAAACAAACAAACAAACAAACAAACAAACAAACAAACAAACAAAAAACACTTCTCCTATGCAGAGGGTACAGGCCAAGTGAGCAGGGTTATAAGATCCCAGTCCTGATTTCATGAGAGCACCTCCACTTCCACTTGTTTCATTTAGGGTTCTAACCTTGGGGGCAACAAGCTTTTTAAAACAATCACTTGACTAGATTATTCTAAGACCTCTCTCAGCTCTAAAATGCTATGATTTTTCTCAACAAGTACTAAAACAAACACTGGATACAAAATCGCCCAAAGATGACTAAATTTATTCTACTGGAAAGAGGAGTTTATGGTATTTAAAATATTCTCGATGTCCTATAATGTCCATTACTTCCTCTGCCATCTCCCCCACCAAAAAAAACGCATCCATACCTAGAGTGGAATAAAGGAAATGGAGATAAAACCCAGACTTCTCTTCAACTCTCCTTGCAGCCCATACCTGTTAGTTCTCTGCACTTCCCTACAGAAGACAATTTCTGACATGCAGAAACACTCATCTTAAATACAGTAAATTATTTGTAAGGGAAGGGAAATGGAGAACAAAGTAATTATATTTCTTTTAACCTGATTAGCCCAATCTTGAGAAATGTATTTTAAGGTATTGAAAGACTTTCAGATATTAATAAAGACGTACATTTTTTATGGTTTTTTTAAATTTTATTTTTGAAGGACAGAGACAGAGCATGAGCGGGGGAGGAGCAGAGAGAGAGGGAGACACAGAATCCGAAGCAGGCTCCAGGCTCTGAGCTGTCAGCAAGCCCGATGTGGGGCTCGAACTCACGAACTGTGAGATCATGACCTGAGCCGAAGTCAGATGCTTAACCGACTGAGCCACCCAGGCGCCCCGAGACGTACATTTTTTTTAAAAGCTTAGCGTTCAGGGGCCCTCGGGTGGCTCAGTCGGTTAAGCATCCGACTTCAGCTCAGGCCATGATCTCGAGATTTGTGAGTTTGAGCCTTGCATCGGGCTCTCTGCTGTCACCGCAGATCCTGTTTTGGATCCTCTGTCCTCCGCCTCTCTCTGCCCCTCCCCTGCTCACGCTCGCTCGCTCTCTCTCTAAAAAATAAATAAACTTTAAAAAAATAAAAAATAAAAGCTTAGCGTTCAAGCAAATGTGTGCAACGTTTTGCAACACCAAAAATTTAAAAATCTATTCTTCCCAAAATTATCAGATCTAATTACACCTCCACCACAAGTATACTTCAAATCAGTTAACACTAGTAAAGAGATATTGTATATACCTAGTTTCAAAACATCTATATGACTGAAATGGTCTATCCATCCAAGGTGTTGTGTTCATAAGATTGTAAAAGTCCGAAAAAAGGCATGTCAAGTATCAGACATTACTGTATAGATTTTCAAGAAGGGGGTGGAGGGAAAAGGCTTGTTTAAATTCAGAGAATTACTCACACCATTTAAAATACGGCCCCATTTTCACCTGCAAAGACATAAATTCATTGCATTTTTCTAAAAAGATTAAATAGTAATAATCATTTATGCCTTTATTTACATAATTCGTTTTCAATCGACTTTCCTGATTTTATCTTTTTGCCTGGGTAATCAAGCAAAATAGCAGTTATTTTAAAAATACAAAGCTTTGACTTAAACCTTTTTCATCTAAATCATTATTCATTATTTATAAATGTCATTTCTTAAAAGTCTGCCATTACCACATTATAAGTGACCAAATATTTGATTCTACTATTTCATCTTTCTGAGAAATAAAAATTATACCTTTTGTAAACAATCTTCAGATCTCGCCACTCAAGAAAGCTGCACATTTTCGGTTTCCGTGCTAAAACGGTTTGAACAAGTTCTCTTGTGATCTTTTTCTTTTCTTTGTCTGACAGTGGGACATACCATTTCTGCAGTCGAAGCTTTCCCTGACGACTAAAAAGCAACATAAACTGCATCTGTTAAGATAAATAGAACCAAGATTACATGCAACACTTTGATTCAGTAGAGATTAAGAGGACATGTTTCACAGAGAAGCTTTGGGGGCAGGGCCTTTGACTGTCAAATGATTAGCAACCATCAGTATTTCTACGCCGGTTAAAATAGCAAGAAATTCTTGTAGAAAGATCTTCTGACCAGATGTAAATCTTCCCACCCCATCCCTTTCCACCTAAGTTTAGAGAATAGTGTGTGGGGGGGGGGGGGGACAGGTAAAAAGCCAGAGTGAAAATTTTGAGGAAGAAGAAAGATAATTCTTGCAATTTCAGAAACTACTGTCTGCCAGGGCTATACATTTCACATTCTCTGTATGCTTCAAAAGAGAACTGTTGACACCAACTGGTTCAGATACATTTGAAAGAAACAGCAGATCTACTACTGTTTTTCACCGTGAGGCTGTTCCAGTTCCAGGCTGAATTACTTGTGGACAGACTGCTATCACTTAGGATGCCCTCTTCAGTTTATGCTTACATATCTTAAGCAAAACAAAAGATCTCAAACATTAACCCAGAGAAAACCCCACAAAGGCACATTTTTCCTAATAAAAGCCTGATTTTTAAGTCTCTCTTCTCATCTTCACTTTTTAAAAATTCCAGCATAAATATGCACACAATAAAGTGGGCTAATGTAATAATATGACAGAGAATATAAACCTCTAAAAGCCAAAATAAGAGGTACACACATGCAGAGACATTACACGAAATACTTCATTTGAAACAATTAAAAAAGGCATCTACAGATGGAGTGGATGCTGAATTCTGGTGTATTTTACTTAAACTATTTTGTATATGTGTATTTGGAATCTCGAATCTGTTGATTTGTTTAGATGTTTAATTTTCAAGGAAAGCTTCTTGTAATTCAACTGGTCTTTTCAACTGCAAACAGGTAGGCATGGTTTCTACAAAAGTAATTTAAAGGTAGAATTCAGACAGGGTTTTTTTTTCCCCCTTGTGAACTATTTTAAGTTCCTTTAACAGCGTTACTACAAGATTCCAGCCTCATTCTTAATATGCACCACACCATCTTAAATTTGAATATGGGGTGGGGAAATTTACACAACCAATTTAGAATAAACCGGGCTCTAAATTTCCCTAAGAAATTAGTGACGCTTTTCGTACTAATCCAAACGGGCATCAACAAGAAAGATATTTAGCAATTTATGAGGTGGCAATTTAACTTTAATACTCTATATTTAAGTTAAATAAAATCGGCTTATTACACCTCACTTCAAACCTTCCCTGGCACAAAATAAACGAACGACGTTCTTGTTATCAAAGTGCCCCCCATACGAGTCCTGTTAAGATAGCGGCATTCGAAGGGGGACAGCAAGTAAAGCATCAACTGGACAACGGGTTTAACGCAGACCCGTTACCAGAACTTTGAGAATAACAGACCCCTATTCCCGGACCCTGATGACCTGGAAGGGTGGGGGTTTGCTTTGGAAAAAGATTACGAGCTCAAGGCTGTCTGTATCCCCTCCCTACCACTTCATAGGGCGAATAAATAATTCACTCTTTAAAATAATTATGTGCTAACATGGGACGATACCCGGTTACGAAGCACAAGTATTCCTTCCCTCGAGTTAAAAACTAATGCTTTGATTTTGCCGCAAATCACAGGCCACCCCAGTTCCTCGAGATTGGTATTAAAAACAATAGGCTCGGCCGCGGAGCGGGCTCAGGGCCAGCGTTCCTCCGTCCGGCCGTCTCCGACGCCTCCCCGCCGCCCCACGGGGCCGCACTCCATCACTGACCGAGCCCGAGCGAGGTGACGGGCTAGGAGCGGGGCAGACAATGGCATTCGCCGCCGCGCAGGTGGCGCCAAGGGTCCTCGGCCGCCCCGGGCCGCGAGCCCCTCCCGAAAATGCCCCGCAAAACTTGAGGTGATTCCCGAACCACAGGTGCCGCGGGGGCTCCGCATCCTCGGGGCGCGGCGAGGAGTGGAGAGGGGCGCGGACGCGGAGAGAAGTGAGTTGCCGGCCGCGGCGCCCCACTGGGGGGCCAGCGGCCAGACACGGGGTGGGGTCGTCGGGGCGCGCGCGGGGCGGCGGAGGGCGCGCCCAATCCTCCCTCTCGCCTCCCCGTCCCCGACGCCCCCGCTCGCTCCCCGGGACTTACGGCGGCCGCGGGCCGCGGGCACGGCGTGGCTCGGCCGGCGGC